GCTAAGCTAAGGTATTTATCTCCTGGCTCCTATTTTATACTTAACAGAAAGAAGACTTATATTCATCGTCTTTAATAAGCAAACTTTTTGTAAGTTATTCTAAGGATGATGACGCACAAACAATAAATGACCTTAAAAGCTTTCACTGACAAATAACATTTATAATTTATCATTTAGCTAGCAGACACTTGCGGTCTAAGCCTTTATAGCACCAGATATGAATAACAATTGATTTTGCTGCAGCCATGATATAGCAGCTTCTTACTCCATCCTTTCTGAATAGTCTTGTGGGAATGTCTGCTGGACACTTTATCAATATTTACAGCTGAAATATGACAAGTTGAAAAGTACGAAATGAATAATTTCTCTAATGTTTCTGATGTTCCTCCTTTTACTGTGATGTGGGGAATAAAAATGAAGACAAGTTGTTTCATAAAGCCTTTTTATGTAAAAGCTGTGACATGAAAACAGTTGCAATTATTGATAATGAATTTTTGACCAAGACCAAAAAATATCTCTAAGAAACCAAGTGTGTGTGTGTGTGTGTGTGTGTGCGTGTGCTCTCACATGAATGTGGGTGTACTAGGAAATAAAAGGAGTCTCTGCAGCAGAAAGAAGAGACTGGAAGATTATGTGGAGGTTTTAGTGTAGGTCGTGGTAAATTAACAGGTCTGAGTTTTGCAACTGCATTGTAAGACAATGTGAGGCTCACTGATAAGTGCAGAAAACTCCAGAAAAATCACCACTGAAACTGTGTTTCTTCCTCACAGTGATGTGAAAATGACTCAGCAGCTTGTAAAACCACCTTGAGCAGCAGTAACCTGAAGTCATCATTTTCTTTATGACTTTATCAGTTTCTCACATTGTTGCTCAATGACTGGAAGGTACCCAGGCTGCAAATCAAGCCCTCCACCACTGTGCTGTGTTTTCACCAAAAATGCCACTGTCCACATTTAGCTGACATGTGGAGTCTTTATAAGGAGACTGGAAGGGTCGTGTTGGCGTAATTTGCAGCTAGCATGCCATGGTGCACATCCCATTTGGACCTTTAAAACACACTGCACACACAGCAGTAACCCTGATCACTGACAAGTGACGACCTAGGAGTGACCGATCAGTTTCCCTGAGAGTGACTGGCCACTCAGTGCATCACGGCACACTCCAGAAGGGACACCTTGTTTGCAACTGAACCATGCGAGTGTCAAGTCTGAGTGGAGTAGGCAAGAATGGTGGACCCAAAGTGCAGACTCACGGAGGCAAAAAGGTGAACTCAAATGCAGCTTTATCGCTGGATAGCAAAAAAACAAACAACTGGCTAAACTGAGAATACAGACAACTAAACAGGCAGGC